AAATATAACAAAAGCTCGGCCACCGTAAGGGTAGCGATATCTCTTTTTGAAGAATATAAAGAAATAGGAGTCACCGTGGCGGTAACGTGGATATTTGCGTTTTTTGTTAACTTGACTCGGTGAAGAAGAAAAAACTAATGTCCCCCAGCCCACAAAAACCCGGGTATTTATACTTAAATTTCCCATATATGCAAATGTATCAGAAAGAGAACGACTGTGACTTCGGTGTATAAAGACTATAAAGCCCTGTATTAATTCCTGAATATAACCCTATCGGTTTACATATGGTTTTTTAGCTAGCGGCCGTTAGAGTCTACACGTCGACTTCTTTTCCCAGTAGTAATTAAACGGCGCCTACGAGGCGGGATACGCTGGGATGTTGTTTGAATTCGAGATAAAAATTTGAATATAATATGTAATATATAAGAATTATTTAAATTAATTATCAACCCCCGGTTGTCGGATTTCATTAATACTTGTGAAATACCTTCTGATACAATGCACCATGATTTTTCTTGGCTGGCAACTGCAATCTAAGATTTGTTTAAAGTTAGGTACGATTTTCGTATAAAAAGTACTGATGACATTGTATCCATTTACGCAGTTTTCTGTTTTAGAATTGGGTATAAAACACATGACTATTTTGTAGAAACTGGAACGAAACAAAATATAAACATAACCTCAAAAATAATAGTAAATGTTTTACCTGGAGGTTGGAGACGTGTTTCGTTGAATTAACACACATACTTCCGATTTATTAAATTCGCAGTTTTATTTAAACATGGTTTTTTAAATAAATACAATTTATAATTGTTTTATGGTGAATTTTATAGTTTGACAGCTTGATATATAAAACACTATTTTGCGATATGACAAGTGAACGCACGTTGAGTTTTGACGTTAATAATTTTATATTTGAAGATTTTGATTGAATGAAAATGTTTTTATATCATTAAGTTATTCTATTTAAAAAAAAAGATATTTATTCTCACTAAAATTGATTAACTCCACTTGCTCGAGTTTGACATATGACGTAAAACAGTGCGGACACTTTTAGTATCGTCATAAGATCTCCTGGATTGCTTGGAGATATATCCCAGCAATATGGCAAAAGGCGAAAGTAGTCTACCTTGCCAAAGTAGGTAGGGTCACAGACCAAACGCCAAAGTCATATCGCCCCATAAGCCTATCCTCCTTTCTACTTAGAACACTAGAAAGATTAATAGTTAGGTATATCAGGGACGATATACTAAAAATAAATCTGCTCCATCCCAACCGATATGCATACCAGCCAGGAAAGTCAACTGACCTAGCGCTGGACGATCTAAACAGGCTGCTTTCAAATCAATAGATGACAAAGAAATCGTAATAGCCACTTTCTTAGATATTGAAGGAGCCTTCAACAATGCCTCAACCAGGTCAATAACCAAGGCTCTAGAAGGGAGAAACGTCCCAGTAACAATATGCCAATGGATCACTGCCTGTCTAGAGAACAGGATCATTTTATCCACTCTAGGAAAGGCAACCAATGCTGTGGTCAGTTCTTGTGGACGACTTACTCAAAATATTGTCCAAAGAAGGCTACCAGTGCCTAGGATACGCAGACGACCTAACAATTATCGTCAGGGGGCGATTTGCAGGTACAGTTTCGGAGCGATCTCAAACAGCTCTAAACATAACAAAAAGGAACAATTGTCCATCAACGCACAAAAAACAACAGTTGTACCATTCACAAAAAAAACGGGTACTCACAGGTCTAAGACCACTAGTACTAAACAGCACAGTTATCTCATTCGTCACAGAAGCCAAATACCTCGGAGTCATATTTGACCAAAGGCTGACATGGAATCAACATTTCAAAAAACTCACACATAAAGCTACAATAGCTCTCGTAAGCTGTAGAAGAATATGTGGGAAAAACTGGGATCTAAACCCCAAAATGACCATATGGTTATACACAAGGGTAATAAGACCCATGATAACCTATGGCGCAGTGGCGTGGGTAACCAAAACTGCGCAGGCAAGTGCAATAGGCCAACTCACTAGCATTCAGCGGCTTGCCTGTCTAAGTGCTACTGGGGCCATGCGCACTACGCCGACCGCAGCAATGGAGGTATTACTAAATCTCACGCCATTGCACATCTTCATACAAGGAGAAACCAGGTCAGCTATTCACAGGCTAATGCAGGGACAAAACCCAATAAGCCAACTACATAGCGCCGACCACACAAGGCTATATCAACAAGTAAAAAGGGATAATATTCTAGCTATGCCTACTAATAGAGCCATAACCACATACAAATTTGAAAGAAATTTTCAAATTCAAATAAGAGCCCGAGAATCCTGGAAACAGGGACCTCCCGTACAGGCTGAACTCGTCTGGTACACAGACGGTTCAAAAACCAAGGAAGGAGCCGGTGCTGGAATCTATGGACCTAAGTCGAAATCAACGATTTCACTAAGCTTAGGAAAATATGCAACAGTGTTCCAGGCTGAGCTAATAGCCATACAACAGTGTGCAAGAGAAATATTAAATCAGCAAGTATCAGGCAAAACTATAGCCATATACAGTTCATCAAATTTCTAGAGGTGTTCGACGCCCAGACAGAGAACGCGCTACGTGTGACTAAGATAGCTATTGTACAGTCTGCTAAACAAGTTATTTTAAATAGTTTTTAATATTTTTAGGTAATTAAATTTTAAAAGTGTGGAATAGTTTAGGGATTAGATTGGTCTGATTGGACTTTCTTAGAACGTTTTTAAAAGCAGCTAAAGATAGTATGTAGAATTGAAAATAATTATTATGCCATAAAAGGTGTTTTGGAATTCCTTCAACCTTTTGAAATTGAGTCAGAAAATATAAATTTTATAGGATAGCGGAAAATACCTATAATTTTTTTGTAGGCCTTAAATCGTGGAAATAGTTTATATTTTATTTCTACCTTATTAAGGAAAATGGTACCTATTATTAATAACGGTTGTTTCTGAAACATTACTAAAATTTTCGAAATTTTTTTTTTCTACAAAATAATAAACTATACTATTTAGAAAAAATTTATTTCTCTTATAATTTTATAAAAAATAACAGGGGAATATTTACATTTCTTGATCTATTAAACAAAACAATAAATTATCTCGACAAATGACACCATGTTCTAGTACGGAAGCTAGCTTTACATTTTTGTTGGTGGTTTCATGGGTTTCATATCAATTTTTTGTAATTGTAGTTTACACGTACATATACCTCTTAACACTTGTTTGCTTTATTAAAAAAGTGTGTTGTTGTGATTTACGTCGAAATAAGTCAAAAACAACTTGAAACCCGATATAAAATCAAAAAGGAGAAACGGAAAAAAATTGAGCCTGTAAATGAACACAACTCAGAAACAAAAATAGCTATCTAATAATAAAAAAATAAAATTTGATTCTTGTGCAGCTTCATCTATATCATTAACTGTTTTTGGTTTTTTAATGGTTTTTCTTGGTGATGAAAATTCCGATATCTCACGGTTATCGATTCTTTTTTTCTCTCCAGAAATGCGGACGACAGTGTTTTTAGATACTCCTGTGGCTGCAGCAACACGATCATTTACATTTTTAAATGGTATTGAAGGTGAATTAAAGTTTCCTTCTCTTCTCATAAACTCTATAACATTGGCTATTATTTCGCGAGATTGACTGTTAATCACGCGGCCTCTTAATTTGCTATTAAACTCCATACTTAGGTTCTATTAAACTGTAATGAGCAAAAAACACAAACGAAAATAAAAGAAATGTTTTAGCGAAATTTACATCTGACATTTACCTCTGAATGAACTAGTGAAATACTTGATGCGCAGAGTATACTTTCATTGCGTAAATCCGTCGGGATGCCTGTAAGTAGTGCTTTCTCTGTCTAGCCGTCGAAAGCCTCTAGAAATTTGATGAACTGTACTCTGATAACCAAGCAGCTCTAAAGGCAATTCTTTCACCAGAAATTAAATCACGACTGGTGAAAGACTGTCTAGAAGACCTGACAGAGCTAAGTAGTCAAAATAAGGTGACAGCCTGGGTTCCAGGCCATGAGGGATATCAGGGCAACGAAAAGGCCGACGAATTAACCCGAGAAGGCTCAGATAAGGCCATGACAGGCCCTGAACCCTTCTGTGGAGTTGCCAAGGCATTGTGCAAGGCATCCATTAAACAATGGATGCAAAAAGAGTTTCAGGAATGGTGGAACAACTTTCCAAGACTGAGACAGGCTAAACAGTTCATCAAGGAACCATCGGCCAAGTTTACGAAAGATCAAAAACGTCAAATCGTTAGGATAACAGTAGGCCTTCTTACTGGACACTGTCGCTTCAAAAGGCACATAAGTGTCATAAATCCAGTAGAAGAAGCAACTTTGTGCAGGTTCTGTGAAGAAGAAGAGGAAACATTCCACGTCCTGTGCCAATGTGAAGGCTTGGCTGGAATGAGGTTTCTAACATTAGGCGAAGAAAAGCCAATTGCATGCAACTACATGCGGGAGCCACTGTCAAAGCTACTAAGTCTAATAAAAAAGACCAGGCTAGACGACATACTCTAAAACAAACGGAGCCACACAATACATCTGAAAAGGTCGCGGTGGACAAGGACAAATAACGTCCAACTCCTAATCTAATCTAAAATCTCCTCTTTATTTTATATCAATGATTGAAAAGTTCGTATGGTCTTCCCTACTTTGTGACGTCACTGTGTACGTTGCGCAAATTAAACTGATTTAAGTGATTTTATGATTGTTTCAGGGATCTGTTAACGTGCGACATTTCTTTTTAGCTAAAAACTTTTAAGAACGTTTTTTATTTTAAAATAATATGTTTTTATTAAATGTAACTGGGTGTTCACTGCACAAATGAACCAATGGAGAAACCGCCCTTGATTGCAATAACCTAATTATTCTATTTTGCGTATTTTTTCAAAGCTAATGACCGCATAATGTTTTTGAGTAGGTGCTATATAATTTTACGTTTCTCTTACAGATGTCGCAGTTGCCTTCAAAGCTTTAGAAGCGAGGATCAATTCAAGTCGCATAGATGTATGTTGACAGGCGTTAGAGTACACTTTTGTAGATATTGTAGGAAATCGTTCGCCACGCCTAAAGCGTATTACCGTCATTTACGAGTACAGCATAAAATTCATAAAAAACGAAACCGGCAGTTCTGTGCAGAATGTAATAAAGTTGTATCCAATATAACATACCACAGAATAAGGGTGCATCCTGATACTGCGAATAAGTCTTTGTGCCCCGTTTGTGGACTGTATGTTGTAAACATTTATAGGTAAATAAAATATTGAAGTTACTATAAACTGATAAATATTTTATGAAATATTAAAGTTTCCTAAAGAAAAGTGGTAATGATGGTTTTAACAGTTATTTTTTCTTTTAAATTAGTGAAATGTCAACATTTTTAAAATACTCGTTAATGATTTGTAATTCCTTGTTTATTTTTCAGTCATAGGCTCAAACATGAACCTTTGAAATGCAACATCTGCGGTAAGGAATTTCGCCACTCGACTGTTTTAAAAAAACACGTAATGATCCATACTGGCCAAAAACCCTATCTGTGCAGTTCTTGTCCCAAAACTTTCAATTGCAAATATAATCTACAGGTACACGAAAGAATACATACTGGAGATAAATGCCACGTTTGTTCGATATGCGACAAAGGCTTTTTGGAAAAGTCGTATCTAAAAAAGCATATGAGAATTCATAAGGACATCAGAGGTGGTGGCTTTAATGAAGAGAATAATTATGAAATAGCAGGGAATGATGAATATGTGTCGTCAAATTAATTTATTGAATGCATTTTGTAAATTTTTGTTTAAATTATATTTGTTGTGATTATTTTTAGGTTAGAATAATATAAGTTTTATATAAAATAGTTTTTTATTGAAAAGAGATCTCTAAAAAAAGTCCTCTCTTGTGCTAAAAAAAAAATAAAAGACGTCTTGCTGCCGGGCCCCCACTTAAGTCCGGGCCCCGGGAATTTCTCTCGGCTACCCCCCTCCCTTCTCGGCCCTGGTTATTATTATAATAACAAATTTAGTGGTACTGCATTTAAGAATAAGGTATTTGTCCACGACCACTTAATAATGAATCAATATTCTACCTCCTAACTAAGAGCATATAGTACCCATATATCACGGAGTGAATTATGATAATTCACGCTTTTGTAATTCTGGCACATTCCGGTAGATAACTAAAGATAGGCGATACTTTCCATAACGATATTTTCTAGATCGAAAAATAAAAAAAAAAAATCGAAAAATCGAAAAAAAAAAAACCGAAAAAAATCGAAAAATCGAAAAAAAAACCGAAAATCGAAAAAAAAAATCGAAAAAAATGGAAAAAAAAATCGAAAAATCGAAAAAAATCGAAAAAAAAAATCGAAAGAAAAACGAAAAAAATCGAAAAATCGAAAAATCGAAAAATTGAAAAAAATCGAAAAATCGAAAAAAAATCGAAAATCGAAAAAAAAATCGAAAAATCGAAAAAAAATCAAAAAATCGAAAAATTGAAAAAAATCGAAAAATGAAAAAAAAAATCGAAAAATAAAAAAAAAAAAAAATCGAAAAAAAAACCGAAAATCGAAAAAAAAAATCGAAAAAAATGGAAAAAAAAAAAATCGAAAAATCGAAAAAAATCGAAAAAAAATCAAAAGAAAAACGAAAAAAATCGAAAAATCGAAAAATCGAAAAAAATCGAAAAAATCGAAAAACATTGACAAATCGAAAAAAAAACCGAAAAATTGAAAAAAATCGAAAAATCGAAAAAAAAAATCGAAAAAAAAATCGAAAAATCGAAAAAAATCAAAAAATCGAAAAATTGAAAAAAATCGAAAAATCGAAAAAAAATCGAAAATCGAAAAAAAAATCGAAAAATTGAAAAATTGAAAAATCGAAAAAAAAAACCGAAAAATCGAAAAAAAAATCGAAAAATTGAAAAAAATCGAAAAATCGAAAATAGAAAAAAAAAATCGAAAAATCGAAAAAATCAAAAAATCGAAAAAAAAAACCGAAAATCGAAAAAAATGGAAAAAAAATCGAAAAATCGAAAAAAAAATCGAAAAATTGAAAAAAATCGAAAAATCGAAAAAAAATCGAAAATCGAAAAAAAAAAATCAAAAAATCGAAAAATCGAAAAAAAATCGAAAATCGAAAAAAAAATCGAAAAATCGGAAAAAAATCAAAAAATCGAAAAATTGAAAAATCGAAAACAAAAACCGAAAAATCGAAAAAAAAATCGAAAAATCGAAAAAAAAAACGAAAATCGAAAAAAATGGAAAAAAAAATCAAAAAATCGAAAAAAATTCGAAAATCGAAAAAAAAAATCGAAAAATCGAAAAAAAATCAAAAAATCGAAAAATTGAAAAATCGAAAAAAAAAACGAAAAATCGAAAAAAAAATCGAAAAATTGAAAAAAAATCGAAAAAACGAAAAATCGAAAATCGAAAAAAAAAATCGAAAAATCCAAATAATCGAAAAAAAATCGAAAAATCGAAAAAAAAACCGAAAATCGAAAAAAATGGAAAAAAAATCAAAAAATCGAAAAAAAAAAACGAAAGAAAAACGAAAAAAATCGAAAAAAAAAAATCGAAAAATCGAAAAAAAATCGTAAAATCGAAAAAAAAATCGAAAATCGAAAAACATTGACAAATCGAAAAATTGAAAAATCGAAAAAAAAAACCGAAAAATCGAAAAAAAATAAAAAAATTGAAAAAAATCAAAAATTTGAAAATCGAAAAAAAAATCGAAAAATCGAAAAAAATCAAAAAATCGAAAAATGGAAAAAAAATCGAAAAATCGAAAAAAATCGAAAAAAAAAACGAAAAAAATCGAAAAACATTGACAATTCGAAAAATCGATAAAAATGAAAAATCGAAAAGTCGAAAAAACAACAGTTAGTTATCTATGTTTAATAAAAACTTTCCATTCTACACTTAACTTTTATTTAATAAAGAAACCATAATGGTCGTGGACAAAGTATAGTATTAGACTCGCAATTTATGGCCATTATTCACTCGGGTGACTTGCGCCCCTCGCCTACGGCTCGGGACGCAAACGTCACCCTGCGTGAATAATGGCTACCATAAATTGCTCGTTTAATAATATACTATTATTGAATATTATTTTTTATATAAAACTTAAAGCCAACCGTTAAATAGTATATTACATTACGAGTGTGGAAAATCACTTTTCACACAAGTGATGTACAATATTTTTCCTACGACCACAAAATAATTTCATCAAAAAATGTAAAACCAGATTATTATAATAATTAAAATGTATTTAAAAAAATAATCAACAATAATCGTATTTATTAAATTTTCATAATTTCTAAACAAATAAAAAAAAATAAAAAAAAAATTCTGGCACAGCCAGGATTCGATCGCAGTCGTTGGACGGTCTCAAATTGCAAAGTTGATGCTCTAACCAACTGAGCTAACAGGCCTTACGGTAATTGATTGATCTAATCGCTTATGTGTTTAACCAGAATAAAAAGCAAATATATCTTAGTTATTTTAAAATTATTTTAAAAATAATTGTTAAAGATAAATATCTAGGATCTAATTTACAATAATTTAACAATCATATCGATTTTAGCATTAATATGGACATTACATAGATCAAAATAGAAATTATGTGTTTGACATTTTCTGACAGCTACTGCGGAAAGTAGCATATTCTCACTTGGGTGGAAAGTAAATTCTTATTCATACGCGTGTGATATAGGGCACTTTCCATAGGTCTATATAGTGTGATATGTGTCACTTTCCTAAGTGGTCGTAGGAAAATGTATTTTGTTATACAGAGCCGGTTCTACCTAACATGATGCCCCCTAGCCGCCGGACAATTTTGAGGCCCTTTGTTAGGCATCTATTTCATAATATTACTATACTAAATAAACTATGGAGTTATCAGGGTATTTCATGTTATATCGTCAGGTTACTGCCAAAATAAGATAAGTACATTTTTTTTCCATTTTTGAATTAAGTGCATGTCTAATATTAAAACTGTCTAAACTATAACACATACCACATATTCCTTAGACCAAAATAAGTCGATTTAAGTAAAATTAACTTAGTACAAAGTTGCTTCGTTTGGGCTCCAGAGGGCCTTGAAGTTACAACATTTAAAACGGCATATGCGCTTTTGCTGAAATTTGGTATATTGATAGAGTTTTATGTGGCAAAAAAAATGGTATCAAAATTTTGTCTGATAATAATACATAGGCGTAGAACTTGATTTTTTAAATAATTGTACCTTTAAAAATTCTACGCCAATGGAAGAAAAGGAGTTTGAGTATGAAATTTAGATTGCGCAACTCATTTACTTTAAAAAAGGTACTCTTGATAAGACTCGATTACTCTCATGGTTTTCGCTAAATTTCTGTTTTAATAATTTAGAGTGTATAGGTTTCACAAAAATATTTATTTACAACATAATCAAAATAAAGATTTTACAAAAATTGTTCAAAATGTTCACCATTTTCACGCATACAAAGATGTATACGTCGAAGAAAATTAAAATGTCTCCTTTCCATAACTTCTTCATCACCTCTAAGATTGTTTATTGCATCTTGAATACGTTGCCAGAGTTGTTCCTCATTTTCTACAGGTTCCCTGTAAACTGTGGATTTCAGATGTCCCCATAAAAAGTAATCCATCGGTGTTAGGTCTGGGGAACGTGGTGGCCAGTTTACAGGTGCGTCATTACCTCTGCCTATCCATTTGTGTGGATATTGTTCATTCAAGTGGTTTCTAACGTTGCATAAACCACATATCTCTCCGAAGTTGGAGATGTAAATCTTCTAACAATTCTGACAACGTATTTTGTAGAAAATCCAAATAATTTTCTTCGGTTAATCTTCGTGGAAGTATGACAGGACCAACAATGAAATTACCAATTATTCCAGCCCACACATTAATTTTGAATTCGTGCTGAAAATGGTTTACCTTTATTGCATGCGGATTTTCAACGGTATAAACATGTTCATTATGGGTATTAGTTATACCTCTTCTTGTAAAACCCGCTTTATCGGTAAAGAGAACCTTCTTGACAAAGTTTGGATCTCTTTCTCTTTGCATATTAACAAATCGACAAAAACCCAAACGAATTTGAGGATCGTTTTCGAAAGTGAGTGGTTGAAAAGCGAGTAGTTTTTGAAATCTATATTCTTGACTGACGTTCGATGAGTATTCGTTTTTAAGACGTGTACGTTTTTAACAAGCAAATAATATGTCTGGCATCACTGTAAACTGTCTATATCGTTGAATTCAAGTAATGTGCAGGCCATAAAAGAATAAGGATTATGTAATTTAATTACAACAAACCAATTGTAAATTTGTCGAACGATGATTTTTTTCTAATCACAATATATATCGATGTTCAGGATAATCTGAATCGTTAATTGTTGGCGTAAAAATAGCTATACGGGTGCAGTTAATGCAACCTATAATTCTAGGAAAATCGTAAGTCATAAAAACCTAGTTTTTATGGTAAAAAATTCATTTAACTAATAACTTTGCTTATCTTATTTAGTTCTTTAATATTTTGTGGCAATTTTACAAAATTGTAAAAATTTCTGGACACAACGTGTGATACAGAAGAGCTTTGAACCGCAAGCAATTTAACATTTGTAAATAAAACATACATGAATTAATAATTAAATTCTTACACGGTAAGATATAAAAAATATTCATTCAATATCAGTTAAAATCAAAAACTGGATTCTGCCTCTGCAAGTCTGAATCTTTAAGGATTCTTATCTTCTAAGTTTTCTAATTGTACAATTATTGATAATATAATTGAAAGAAATTCTCAGCTAATG